TCACATTGTGCACACTCTGGCAGCTCCTGTGTCTTTAGGATTAATAGGAATTCCTAGGATTTGGTGGATTTAGTGTGAGGGAATTCTTAATAGACTCTTCTAGTGCTTGAGGATATTCCTTTGTGGTTTTTCATTTTCTTCTGGCACTAGAGCACCTTTTTAATAGATGGATTACAGGCACAATCTGGAGCCTCATGTGCAAGGATAGATATAGCTCATAGAAGCTTTCCTCCTCCCACTGCTGCCATTAAACAATAAAGACAGTGCCATTTACAACCCGACACTGGACTCCTCCTTAAAATATAACAGGATGTGAGATTAGAACAAGATCCTGTGATCTCTTTACTTCCTGGATACTAAAAGAGTGGCATATGGGAGCCCAAATATTAATGGGAACTGCAGCATTCCCATTGTTGAAGAAAACCGGTGGATAGTTAACGGGAAAGATGTTTCTGTTCAGTGCCTTAGGGAAATTGTTCAAGCACCATTCATTCATAGAATAATGTTACTGTTGTAATACTACAAAAGTCATTACATCAGTGAACTACCTAGTGTGTGTGTGTGTTGGTAAATATGTAGTGTTCTATCTAATATGATTCATTAAGCTAAATAGATTGTACCCTTTTTGTGTATTTTCATGTTTACTTCAAGTTCACTTCATCCTTATCGTATTGTGAAATGTTTTTTTCAAAGGTTGTTTAATGGAATTTCACATTGTATTTGCTATCCCCATGCAATTAGGAAGCAAAGTAATGACTGAAGTGCTCACACGTGAATTCTCAGATACCATTTTAGAATATATGGAAGAGATGATCAGAAAAGGCTCTATCTTCTGAATGATTTTATCTTGGATCCTTTTTTTTTTTAAACACACATGTGTTGTACCCCTTTTCCATGTTTAGTGAATGTAATCAGACCTTGTCTTAGGCAATGGTCAGGGTAATGCATTTGCTTTGAAATCATGGCTTTATAGGCGTGCTTGTACCATTTCATATTTCAAGCTGCCACTACTGCCCAGACAGTTTGAAGTCCTACAGTGTAGTACAAGATTAGACACACAAATACTGCAACATTCCCTGCAGATCTAGTGAGCTAGATATCCAAATGCCAGCCCAGAATGGGAACGATGTTTTACCGTGGCAACATGAATCTTTCATGACTTGTTGCCCAACAAAAAAACACAGGATTAAAAAAAAGAGAGAGTTAGACTGATGGAAAATGCCTCTGTCATTTTCTAGCCTTAAAAGTTCCTGAGGTTTTTGTGTTTGCTGTCAATCAAGCAACTGGAAAATGTTTAAAATGGATTTCATATTAAGGGAGAATTTCCATTTCAGCAGGAGTTTTGATATTTCTTTCTCTGCATGCACATTCAGACAAGGAGTCTTGTGAGTGTGAATGTATAGAATAAAATGGTCAGAACAAATGTACTGCTGCTCAAAAGATCTAATTCATGCTGTATGTGTTATTTTAAACATAGCACTACTGGCATTTTCTTAAGTTGGGCAGGAAACTACTATTAAATGAAATGTAAAAAGTTGAGTGATGTTTTAAATTATATATGCGTATATAATGGAGTGCCTTATAAGTATTTGTGAAAGCCAGTGGAAGTCATATAATTTTATATCCTAGTTAATTTATTTCTGTAGCATTTTACTGGCAAGAAGTGAGAACCAAATTCTGCCCTCGTGTATATACATAATTCTGTTTAAGTCAGTAGTTGTTTCCTGGAGATATCTGAGGACAGAACTTGCCCCCAAGTTTGCATGCTATTGGCTCATATGTTTGACCATTTGGAAGTTTCATAAAATGTTTTACTCATTGATATTAGGTGAGATTAAGCAAGTGCTAGTCCCATGGACGGCTCATTGGTATGCTGCTTTATGACAAGAGTGGTCTAGCCTTTCCTAATATAAGACACTTTTATTATGCTATACAGTTAGGCCCCGATCCTGTAAATGGTTCTACAAATACTTAATGATTACTTTGAATGGGAGTACTCATGATAGTCACGTTAAGCACATGTATTAGTGTTGCAGGATCAGGGCTATCCAGTTTAATGGCGCAATCTCTGGTGTCCCACTATTAAACTCATGTATGTGTAATCAAAATGGATAAAAAAAGGTGCTCTGTATGGTTAAATAAGCTTTCTAGTTATGGCACATGGTATTGAATCAACTGCTGATCACCAAGGCAACCACGTGATCAATTTCTGTGGCATAATCCTGCTTTGCCCAAATGTTTGAATAGTAATTTAACAAATAAAACAAAAAAGTACAAAGGTATTGCACAATTACAACATGTATAGAATGAGCCCAACACTGTATTTTTATTATTTATATTTTATTTGTTGTTTTATACATAAATCAGGAGTGCTTAAAGCATACTAAGCCACTCTAAAAATGCAATGAAATTGGGTAAAATAATGGAGTTAACTATATAATATGAAACTATAAATCAAATAACGTATGACTTCAACATTTGCAAACTAATAGCTAAATTCAACAAAGAATTTATCGACCTGATTTAAAGAGAATTGGGAGCAGAATCAACAGTGACAGACAATAAGTATAAGGATAATTGTAAATATTTGGCAGGTGATCACTTCGACTCATATGTACCAGCCAGGGGCAATATACATCTACAGATAAAGTATATTGTACAAGTATTTCCATGCTACAACAACTATTTGACAATACTTGTTTTACAGTTTTAGTGTAATACCTGTATTATAGGTACAGCAGATGATTAATTAAGCATTCACAATGATCATTTCCTGTATTTGCTTTTCCCTTATACTTACAGTTTTATAATCTGTCAGTCATAAATGTCATTTATGGCAGATGTTTAACACGAGTTTTAAAAAGAAGTGCCTCTCTAGTGTCAGTCTTAGCAATAGATTTATTGACCTTAGCAACAGCAACAGTGGTTAGCAAAATAATGTTTATATAGAATTACAAGTTAAGGCAGCATTTACCCCTGCTCCTTGCTAATTAAAAATAGAATGAAGAGTTGGCATTGAAACTTTATTTTAAATGGTTTTGATATTACTGTGCACTCCTCCTCCTTCAGAGGAACTGCGTGATTCTATTCTTCAGATAACGTTCTGAAAAGTCACATTCCCATGACCCCATACCACAAGATCCCATTGGTTACATCTTTAATAAGTAACAAACAGATGTTCTCTGGAAAATTGTGAGTGTAGTTCAATTTAGACTGACAGCATCCACAAAATAAATATGTACAGCATTTCTTTTCATAACATATTTCAGGCTGAGAAATAAACAACAATCAATGTAATATATTGTCAACTTGAAATCTGAGTTCATGTGTTGTATTCTTATGAATCTTCTTAAGTATTAGCTGAAAAGCGGAAATGACCTTTACTAGCGAGCTTAGTTTAAGTTGACATGGTACTTTATTTTTTGCTGACTGTATGGTAATAATCTAAATGTAAAATAATATGACCATTGGTATTAATTTAAAATGTACACAGAAGGAAACTTTTTGTAAGGGTGGGAGGGAGGGGGCAAGGAGGAGCTAACTGGTGCCTGTCATCAAATGCCTTCTTCTCTACAGCTGGGGCTTTCCCCACTTGGCAGCAGCCTAATCAACTACACCTACCTGTTGAGGGTGGCATTTAGATTAAGATGTAGCTATTTGCTGTGTTAAAGGAGTCCTTGCATGACAGTTAGGTATTCATTAAAGTTGTAATAATGCTAGAAGGATCTGGAATTGCATAATCCCTTTCTCCATGGAGTTAGTCAGAGAATGGGCAGAAAGAAAGAAACAAACAAAAAAGAGTGATGATGTAATTAATTTCAGATTCAAAATCATAGTCATTTTTCAGCTGATCCACTTCCAACCCTCTGCCCCAGCCGGGATCCCCTCCTGCACCCTGAACCCCGCATTTCTGGCCCCACCCCGGAGCCCACACCCCCAGCCAAGATCCCGTACCCGCTCCCACACTCCAACCCCCTGCCTCAGCCTGGAGCCCCCTGCCACACTCTGAACCCCTTGCCCCTACCCCCCAGCCTGTAGCCCCCTCCTACACCCCAAACTACTCATCCCTGGCCGCACCCCAGAGTCTGCACCTCCAGCCGGAGGAACCCCTTGGCCCCATCCCAGAGCCCCCTCCTGTACCCCAAATCCCTCATCCCTGGCCCCACACCTCCAGCCAGAGCCCACACCCCAACCCTCTGCCACGGCCTGGTGAAAGTGAGCAAGGGTGGCGGAGGGAGGGGGGATGGAGAAAGTGGGGGTGGGGCCTTGGGGAAATGGGCGGGGCAAAGGTATTTGGTTTTCTACGATTAGAAAGTTGGCAACCCTATTTGGAGTTATAGTACTGTATTTGTTTGACTTAAATGATTTGGGTGTATTCCATTTCACTGACCCTAAACTAGAAATCTTTTCCAAGCAGCCAGTGCCATTAAGATGTCTCATCGCTATAAATTTCTTAGTTGGAAATTCAGTCAGGAATAGCAGTCTGAGTAAAATATTTAGCATGTGTCAAGTTAAAATGAGCCCCTTTTCCTTTATAATAATACAGATTACAGATTTACAATATTTGAACATCATCTTTGATATTCGGATTTTATAGTAGTTTTTTCCATGTTCAGAACAAACTTCCAAAACATGTTTTTTTCCCAAATATCATATATCTTCATTTGAAGCAATGACTGCTATTAAATGTAATTAGTCACAACTTGTGAATAAAGATATCTAGTATATGTCATGTTCATCGAAGGCTAAATCCTGTTGTTTAGTATGCAATCCTGCTCCTGTCAATGTGTGTTTTAATTGCAGATTGATAGCTGTACCAACTCTAGGTTCACTCAACTAGCACGTACCTGGTGAATTCACTGTATTCTACAGTACATGTAGTGTGCTTTTCTGCTACATAAACTGTGGACCTCTAATGTATTCAACATTTACAGTCATAGATGAAATTTGGTTTGCAGTTTTAGACATTACTTAAAAACCTATTTCTGCTTCCTCTTTAGGATCCCAGAAGCAAACACAAGTTTAAAATCCACACATATGGAAGCCCAACGTTCTGTGACCATTGTGGATCATTGCTGTATGGACTTCTACATCAAGGGATGAAATGTGACAGTAAGTAAGTTTTTCTAAAGTTATTAAAATGGCCTTTTAGATAATAAGGGAAACCATTAGGCATCAAGCGTCCTCTTTCCTTTGTCTGGAAAAATATTGTTTCAATTACAGTTAATTACAGTACTATATATTTCAAATGAATATTTCATTATTGAAGACTCTCAGTAAAACAACATAAATCAGCCAAACCTCCTCCAGTGGGAAAAATGCTGTAAAAATATGCTAATGCAAACCATAGAAAAAGGAATCTATTGAGTGTATTTGCCATCGCAGTTCTGAAGCTTGTTCTACTTTGGTATGGGAAGGATGCATCCTTTGTGGAGACATTGGTTCAGCCCAGCTGCTAGCTAAGGTCCCGTATTTCATAGTCACTCCTGCAACAACCATAATTCGTATGGAATCTGTACCCCAAAAGATAGGCAAAAGGAATCACCCTTGGATGTGTAAAAGGGTGGCAAAAAAACAAAAAATGGTTTAAAATGCATAAATATTATTTGTACTGTCACAACAGAGCCATGCTTTGGGCTGGCCATTCTCCCTATTGTCCCACCTCCAGACTCCTCAAATGCACGTCCTACAACCATTGCCTTGATTTCCTCTGCTCCAGTGTCATCCCAGATTCCTCCCAAACTAGCTACCTCCTGCTCCACTCCATGTCAATGTTCATAATGACCTCTTCCTGGCCACATATTGCACCCTCTAGTCCATCCTCATATTCCTTGATCTCTGGTGTGCTGATGACATGATCTGTCATCATCTCCTTGAAATCTTGTCCCCCCCCTTGACTTTGTTGTCTTCAGTTCTTTTCATCTCTCTTTCACTGTTCCCAGAATATTTATTGAGGTGGCAGGGGTGGGGCATGGACTCTCTAACCTTAAATTCTGCATCTCAGCTTGTGTGTCTAACATCTCTTGCTAGATTTCTCATCATAATTTAAATTTACCATGATTAACATTGTAATTCCTTATCTTCCATCCCAAACCTTCAACTCACCCTTTTCTTTGTCATTGATGGCATCAGCACCATTAAACTGTCACCAAGGTAGGTAATATGGATATGATTTTCCACAGCCTTCTCTCTAGATCACATATCCAGGTCATGTCCAAATCCTGACATCTCTTCCTCTGTTACATCTGCATGATCAGCCTTTTCTCTCATTTTCTCTCCATCCCCCCCCATGCTAGTATTATGGAAATTAGAAAAGAAATATTTACAATTCTGTATCAATAAGAAAACTGTCAATTTTTGTATTGGTTACAGTAATTTATAGCAAACGTTCTAATATTTTGGATCAAGTCTTTATTCCATGGACTCTTCATTTTGTCTGTTTTACATTCCATTAATAAGGTCACATTTTTAGGTGACTGAAGCTGAGCCTTTTATTGTGGTTAATACTTCAGTGTTTTTTAATAATATTTATAAGGAGAGCCATTGCATTTTGGTCGGTTAAAAAAAAACCCCAACGATTAATCAGATGTTATAGAATAATTTTACCACTCATGTTTACCATATGTATTTAGCATAAATATATTGACTTTCATACATGTCATCATTTTCTGAACCTTTTCTTTCCTGATCCACAGCTTGCGATATGAATGTTCACAAACAGTGTGTAATAAACGTCCCAAGTCTGTGTGGAATGGATCACACAGAGAAAAGAGGAAGGATTTATCTGAAAGTTGAAGTCAGTGGTGACAAACTGCAAGTCACAGGTAAAAAAAAAGGCGTTCTGAGAATTGGTGACAATAGAAGGGTTTAATTTGAACTTTCCTGGGCTTTGGAATAACTAACATAAGTTGTGTTCAGCATTATTTGTAGCCTATTTATGTGCCGTGAATGAAATCTAGGCTCATTGAAGTAAAGAACAAAACACCCCATTAATGTCAGTAAGGCAAGGATTTCATTCAATATGTACTTTAGTCTAAGAAATGCCATGTTATTATTTAAAAGAACAGGTTAGTTTATAATAGATACGCACATAGTTCAAAGAAATAATAGTGGCTCTAAATTAAAACGCAGGAACACTAACTTTAAAATCTCTATGAAATCAATTTTTCAGGTAACCAACAGTAACCTGAAACATTCAGAAAAGCTGGGCCTCATTTACTTTATAAAAAAAAAAAAAGGGGGGGGGTGGCAAGAGACTGCTTAGATTTCTCTTCAAGTAGGCACATATTCCTTTTGTTAACTTCAGTGGAGCTTCCTCATGCATATCAGAGAATGGGATCTGGCCTTTAGTTACCAACTGAGACATTAACAAACATAAAATACACATTCCTTGCTCTGTTGATAATTTTTCTAATTTTTATATTTTAGCTAGGAGTGACTAGCAGTGTACATTATGTGATGGTGACAAATGTTACAATTCGTTCCTATTTAAAGTAAATTATTTGTGTTCTCACATCCAGAATACTATGTACAGTTCAGATTAAAATGTATTTACATTAAAAGAGCTCGTGGTGTGGAGAGTAGGAAAGGAGGAGGAGATGGGGGGTGATATAGTTGATCCTTTCTCTCCTGTATCTCACAGGTCGTAAAGATCATGTTGAATTAATATGTAAAATATATCTAAAACCCAAATAAATTGTCGTGTCCTCATTTTCCAGACACTAATAAAAACAGATGTCAGACCCCGCTAATTAAATGTACAATGTTATTTGAAAACAATAGAAATAATGAAATGTGACGTCATTTGGGAAGTGTCTACAGTAATAAGCAGGGATTAAATCCTGGCCCCATTGAAGTCAATGGGTATTTTACCATTGACTTCAACAGGACCAGGATTTCAACCCAAATGACCAGGACTCCTCCAGTGATGGGATCTGTAAAGCAAACATGTAAGAAACATTTACAGTTAAAACAGTTAGTGGAAAAATTGGCCCTCAGAATATGAACTTTGTGATCCTTTGGGTTTTAAGATGAGAGTGCTGCTTGCTTTATTGTGATGGGGAATTAATTTCAGTTCTGAGACTAAAGCAGAGCTGGAGGGATGTGAGGATGTCTCCATTTTTCTCTTTTTTTCCTGGTTGTAGTGAAGTATCCGTTGTTGCTCTCATCATATGTAGGTATTGAACATCAGTCTTGCCCCCTTTAGATGCCAGACTGTGCAGTCTACCAAAAATACATTAAATGATAAAGGATATTACCTTTAGTTATTCACTTTTTCTTATGTTTCAGAATAAGTTAGAACACACATTCTGGGTTTTCTTGTCAGGCTGTCTATGATTGATTGTAAAGGAAACCACATTTCTGAATCTTCAAGACTTTTACAGGACTGTCAAAAATTTTCCCCATACCTATCTACCTACATTTTTTTCATCATTTTGACACCAGAATATTTTACACAGTATTCTATTAAATCTTGTAAAAGACACTGGAAAGGAAGGAAAGAGAAGGATTACATATAACTACAGAAGATCAGAATAGCAGCCATGTGACGACTAATTGTAGCTAACTTTTTCCACTTGCATCCCACTGATGGAGGAGGAGTAAACTTCTCCAAGGTGCTGTTATTTAGGTCATGTTACTTTCACTAAATAGTGAAGGCATTTCTTAAATGATGTAGCAAGGTGTCTAAACTGTAACATCAGGAGGAATTGATTTGAAAATCATAACACTGAAGAAATTGAATATTTGTATTAATGTAGGTCATTAATCAGAAAGGCACATGATTAAATACCTAACTTTAAAGCTGCCCTGCAAAAATGATTCAACAAAGCACTTAAAACACATGCTTAAATCCCATTGACTTCAGTGGGACTTCAGCACATGCTTAATTACTTTGTTGAATAGGGATGATTTTAAGCAACCACTTTTTTAGGCATGTGCTTAACAGTTCTGTTGAATTAGGGTCCCAGGATGAAGTTGACATTCAGCATTCGTTAGATGTCCTGAAACAGTTATACCAGAGTTCAAAGTATAGGATTGTAATTGGAAACTAAGGCGATTTTGAAGACTTTTCAAATACTGAACAATGAGCAGTGTATTGATAACAAGTAGTTTTATTTTACAATAACTTGTTTTAGTATCCAACCTGGAAACTGGTATCTGAAACTACTCTAGATTAGTATCAAAGGGGTAGCCGTGTTAGTCTGGATCTGTAAAAGCA